TCACCGTTGTAAAGTACAACAGGAGATACTGGACATATATTCAAGATGTTATATTACTGATTTACCACTCTCATTCCCCAAGCTGATTTTCTGTGTGCCAAAACCAAAGAGAACATTTTGTGAAGTGTTATGAATTAAAGCAGCGTTGTGCTACAGACATGACCTAAAAAAGAGAGGGCAGGAAACAGGAAGAGCACTGCTTCTAAGTCAGAGTAGGTAGTCCAGGATTCAGAGAAGGCATGAAGTACACATTAATTACATTGATCAGAACAAGAGAACATCTTTTTGCTAGCCCATGATTTATCATAGTGCATCAACTTGCTATACTGATGTCTTTTCAACTGTGCAGGGGTCAAGTGGGGGTACCATTATGTGAAAGTGGTGACAAACATTCCATTATTTAGACTTCATTTAGCTTCTAGACTTTAAATTCTCAGATGAAATAGCAGTGTTTTACATGCCAGGCACTTAGCGGTGAACAGTAAGTTCATCTATATCAACAATAGTAGCAGAAGTTGACTCACAGAATCATAGCCTTTGCCTGTCAGCTGGGACACCCAAGGTTCTTCAGCTTTTATTTCCAGACTTACGTTTTATTGATTGTGTGATTATTTAATGTCAGTCTCAGTAATCGCCAGTCATAGGAGGACAGGAACTTTTAGTCAGTGACTCAGACTGTTTAATGCAAGGTGCATATTAAAAAGGTTATCACCTTTTCACGTGGGATGGCACAAAAAGGTCTATACAAGTTAGCTTGAGGCACAGCACGACTTGTTTTGACCTAAATGCTTTCAATAGAGTTTTTAAGTTTATCAACATGATCTAACGGTCAAAAGAGGTTATGCTGGTTGCTTACAGAGGTTAGGAAGTCTGCCTCAAGTTGTCTCCAGAGCAAAGGAGGACACAACCTAAAAAGGACTGAAGAAAGCTACTGAGGCTCCCAGAGCCCGCCAGCAGTGCAGGTAACAACGGCGAAAAAGCCTGCTTCAGACGCTACGCGTGCCCAATGCTCCGATCCCAGGCATGACTTTGGATCCACATTATATTGCCTGTTAGCCAATGAACTGCATTCTTTACATTGTTTTCCTTGACAATTTAAATAGAGCAACGTGGACGTAAAGTATATTTATGTCAAAATGACAACTTTTCATCACAAGAACCAGCTGTCTTATATAAAAATGACGAAACAGGGCCCTATAACTTGAGGTGGTAGGTGACACTGCTTGATGAATAACTAAGAGAGCATTATTGATCTTAACATTCCTCTTTTTCTGAGGAGTATTCACATAGACAAAGGCAGCTAGTAAGCAGTCTTCGGAAAAAAAAACCCCAACACATCAAATCTTGTAGCACAAAAGCCACAAGCCTCAGTACCCTCTTCTGAATTTCTTTTCATTAATTTAAATCCTGTGCTTTTAATACAAAGCCATAATGCAAAATCAGAGTAAGCTTCACAGATATGTTCAATTAAAGTCTGAATATATAAAAGTAAAATCAAAATTCAGTATAAAGCTTCACACATTTCAGACTGTTACACAGACACACAAACTTGTCTTTAGTTTCAGTTTTCTATACAACGTAAAATCCCATTTTTTATATCTATGTATTCAAATTTACAACCAGATACAGCACTGTCCTACAAACAATCTAAAAAAAAATCATATATTTAGCAGCTCATTCCCCACCACACTATGAATTTGCATTTCCCATTTAATACAGAAATTGCTTTAAACGGCAAAGAAAATAGCTCCACAACTGCTTGTGTGCATGGCCATTGTTCATGTTCATTACCACTAAACATACAGCTGCTCCCTGAAATATTCAAACAGTCAAATGAAAGAAGCTCTTACCTTCCTTGGTGATAAAATTCGGTCCTTCCCTTTTAAGCAATATACTTGAGAGTAATGCTTCACTTGCTAGACAATTGCAGTCCTTAAAAAAAACAGCAACAACATAACCACAAATAGCCTTCAGATTTTCAGTGAAGCAAAACCAGAAGAGCTATTAAAAATTTCAAGTGAAGCCAAAGGGCCTTTTTCAAAAAAAATTAAAAAAACGTCTACACATTTTGTTTTTAAGAGGACTTCGTAACTATTTCATGGCCTATGAATGCTGTTATCCTTGTCACTGCTGTGTGCAGAGGCTTCTTCATGGTTCAAATTAAGGTGCAATAATTTGGTCCTGGAAACGTTTCCTAATTTTCTGTTCTTGGGTTCCATCATTTACACCAGAAATGCTTGTCATGACATAGGGAACCAAGAAGAGTACTGTGTGTTCCTATCAAACACTGCATCTAGAAACAGCCACTGGTGGTTTTCTTCTCGATATTAGAAAAATGCCAGATTGGAACTTTCCCTTGACATCATTAAGAAGTTTCCAGTCTCTCAGTGACCACCAACTCCTGAGGTCTTCTGAACTGCAGTCTAGCAATAAAATATCTATTCATAGAAGTCCAACAAATGGATCCCCTCCTAGATGGTCATTTATTACCAGAGAAGATTTGGGTAGCTGGGACAAATAAAAGCCAACAGTTACAGCGTGAAGGGGCCAGAAACTTCTGTGATCTTAAGATAAAGGACTGCCAAGAGGAAGATTCCCTGAGTGTGAAGAGGAACCTCAGACATTTTACGTTACTAGCTGTATTGTTAACATTGAACCATGGCACTAATCCTGTTGACCTAAGTAGGCTGCTGTTAGAATAACAGCACGTAATTTCTCATTTCATGAGAATGATGTTACACTGTATCTTTATCAAGTTTTCTTACGTTAAGTTTCTCCAGGATCTCATACGTTGACTTGTTTTTCCAGTCGTTAATATTTACATCTGGTTGCTGCTCAAGTTCAGAAGCATTTGGAGTACTAGACTGTCTCTTGACTTTTGAATGTTTTGGAAGATCCAACTCCTCCAAACTCTTAAATATAGGAGCCCTGAAAAACAAGCATATCAGTTCTTCATAGTTCTGAAAATATTTTAATTCTCAAATACTTCATCATTATAATTTACATATGGCCTTACTCTTCTGTTTCGGCGATTCTTAAGAAGTCAAGTTGTTCAAGAACTGCTCCAGATATTAATGTCTGAAATGAAAAATTGTAAACATTAAAAAAGATGCAGAAATGTACATAACTATATAGTTGTCTTTTGATTTCAATATATTGCTGGTGGTCTTCATTGAGAAAGTAGTTTCTTCATCTACAGTTCCAAATATCATTACACTTTCTGAGCACTTTTCCTCTTTCTTAAGCTCTCACTTAAGATAGAAGTCTCTCAGGGCTGCTGGGTTTTTTTGCTGGCGTTCTGCTGTTCTTTTGTGTGTAATGTACAGCTCAATCAACAATGTCCAGCTCCAGACAAAAACCAGATCAAGCCAAAATCCAGGGATCAAGGATCTGCATTCCTCAGAGTCCTGCATGATGCCCGTGCTCTGGATCACCACACTGACTGTTCTGGGGATCGCTGAGGGAGGGTAGTTTTCCTGTCAGTTTCTGTGATGTTACAGGCAAACACAACATAAAGCATTTCCTTCTCTGCAGTCATTCCTTAATCCAAGCATGCCTGCCCTAAGCTTGCACATCAAATGCAGCTCAGAATATTACATACCTGAAATTCAACGTTGCATTTATCTGATGTAGTCATTACAATTCATTCAGTCCAAATTTATATTCATTTCCTATTTATATACTTCCAGCGGAAACCTATTGTGCTACAGCATTTTTGAGACTGCTTTTTGATGGTTCTTATTAGCAAAGTAAATCTGAGTGTGTATTGTGAACTTTTAAATTCCATTTTCATTGTACACCAGTTGCAGTAAAATACTGATCAGCTACACTGAGAGATGACTGAATATTTAAAAAACGGCTTTGCTTTTATTGCTAGTGTCATTCATTCTTTGACTTGCACATCTACTTAAACACGTGAAGACTATGAAGGAGAAATTCAGAAAAGAGCTTCTAATCATACACATTTTTAAATGAAACTACATATTGTATATTATACAAGAAAAAAGACCATTCACCCAATTGGAGACACACATTCTATCTCTAGGCATGTTTGCACATTTGTATCTAAATGAAGCAGCTGAATACAATTCACAAGATTCAATATGTATTTTGTTGGTATAATCATTTAAGAAAACAGTGCAAATTAGACATGTCCCCTGTCCCAAATCTTCCCCCATTATGAAACAAGGCTTTTCAAAAATGTGACAACTGTGCAGTAAGATTGAGAGATTATAATTAAACTGATGGACAAAGCACACCATTTTCTATCACTGACTGCATTGATCACCCACATTACCATTCATTTATAAAAAGGGGAAAAGAAAGATGTAAAGGCTTTGGAGAGCTGCAAAAGGGAAAGGGACGTTAAGAATAAAAAAGAGATGCAAGACAATTTCCATTTAACCCAATCCAGTTTTTATATCCTTAGCTGAATGCCATAACAGGAATTAAATCTTAACAATTAATATGCTGCAACACTATTAAACATGTTACACTGATGTATGGGGAGGTGAGCACATTGTATTTATGGATGCCGTAAGAATTTGTCTCTGGAAAAAGCATAAGGCATTCTTGTGGGGATTTATAAATAGTTTTCAGTCAGAAGTCTACAGGAGGATTGAGCAAGTCCGTAACTGTATTTAATGAAGTTGTATTAAGGCCCAGTTACACAAATGATTCTCTCAATAGCAGATCCACTGAAAGTGATTTCTGCACTTGATTTGACCCATTCTGTCCTCCTGCAAAAGCTACCAGCTCTTCACTTCTACACCATTAACTGTTGTTAACCAAATCTGGGCTTGTTTTGCTTTCAAACCTGATCATTCTATAGTTCTGGGTTACAGAATTCAGAGAGTGCCCACGCTGGACTCATCATCAATAACTGCAGTAAGTGCAACCTTAACCTGGCCCCAAGTGAAGCCCAAGCCGGGCTCACAGCTGTCCTCCTCTGCTGGCTGGGACTGGAGCACGGGACACGGCTGCCCCTCGCAGCAGAGGCCACGCAGCCGATGGCTTCACCTCACCGGGCTGGTTTCAGTGGTAAATCATGACTGCAGGTAACAGAGGAAGCCCCAGGGAGCTCCCAGTACAATTCTAAAGCACCATACGTCATACACCTGCTTTGTTGTTCTGTTGGTTCTGTGGGGTATTTTAAGGCCAAATAAACATTTGTTTGTAGTTTTACCATGTACTCTTTTTAACAGATACCAAATAAAGTGAAGACCAATGACTGTCAACATCTTAAAAACTTTAATACTACTAATTAATTACTTTTTTTTTTAAAAAAAAGAATCATTCCAAAAGGCCAATGAGTATGAAAGGGGAAGTTCTCTCCCTGGTGACTGTAACAGTGTAATGCTTAAAATACACATTACGTAGATGGAGAAATTTCAAATGCAAGGCAAGAAAATCACTGCAGTTAAAAATCAAACAAGAAAAAACCCGACACAACAAACACTGTCAACAAATGAAAGGTTTTCCATGGACAGTAATGGCACTTAGCATTTATAGGAAAAGTAAGTAGTACCAGGAGAGTCTACACGACCTACATGAGACTAGTAGAAACACATAAATGTCTGAAAGATTACAAGGATATTTTAAGCCGTTATAGCTATGAGTATTAAATTTACAAGTGACCCAGCTATTCTAGAAATTCATTATTGTCTAGGGAACAAGAAAAAACAATTGTAGCTTGGTCTCCTCTTTTACAAAAAGAAGGGCTCTTCCATAGGTGTAAATTAAGATTATCTAGCACATATATGTATCTAAAACCAGCACCGCACTCAGTAATTTTCACATTTTAATGTTCCTGCTTTAGGATTAATTCAAACAGCAAAGATGTTAAAAGTAGTTCTTAGTTCTTGTAAGAATTTTAATATGTGAAGCACTTTTTTTTTCCTCGTTGAGTATCTAATCAAAAGAAATCCCTCAATGCTTGACATCGTGGATTTATCCTTTGGTGGTAATTTCACAAGATTGCTGAACACAAAAAACACTTCTCCCTTCTGAAAATCCTCTAAAGATTATCACTTTCAAAAGACTCATCGAGAGGAATTAAAATAAACCCATGAGTTTTTCTGAGATAAAACAAAAACTGTGCAAAGTCTTGGTTCTTGACTCCTTAATTTTATGATACTAAATAAAATACTCAGGAGTCACATAAAAAACCAAAGTAGTAAGAATACATGTACCAATACTGGGAGGCAAGAACACAACGTTCAGAAAAAACGTCGTACCTGTACTCTGTCAACATGGACTTTCACTCCTCCAACAATTCCCTTTCTGAAGGCTGCCAGCATATCCAATACGGGATTGAATCTGCTCCCTCTGAAATTTGAAACAGAACTCCATTAATCTTACAACTGGGGAAATACCACACTGAAAATGATGCTTTTCTGTCTCTCTACCTTATATTGTCTTCACGGATGAGTACAACAAACAGTGGACGACCATGCATCTTCCAGTACTGCTTAATGAACTGCAGTGCATTCTAGGCAAGAAATAATGTTAGTCACAAAAAACCCAAAGAACAACCACAACCACAATGTACCAGAATACACAGTACAAGACATTAACAGAGAAATCTTAAAATAACAGGACTTGAAAACCCAACAGATTAAAAAAATCTTAGCTAATAAACCACTACCAGATTTCTTCCACAAATATAAACTGCTTTCCAGCACTGCTATTTCACAAGTTTTCTGAAAATACTCCTAGCACATACACTGATCACAGACCAAACCACTACACAGAGTGCAGTCTACTGAGCTACGCGTAACCACCAAGTAAGTACTCATGGGAATCCAGTGCTTCAATCGTAGCCATATTCCTCAGGAGGAATATCCAGTGCCACCGTCTGTGCATTGGAAGTAGCTGCACAAGCCCAGGGACCTGACAGGAAAGCTCTGCTCTGCTGCGGGCCTTAAAGGGGGGGGGGGGCAGGCAAATTTTAGTACTTGTGCAAAATCAAGTAGTATTTCCTCCAGGTGAGGCTCTCCTATTTCCCTTAAACAGCCCAGTCTTGTTCTCTTTTCAGCCAAGAACATTTGTTTTCCCAAATAAACAAATGATAATTCGCTTGCTGCACTAGAGAATTCCAGTCACTGTTGGGTGATTGTTTTTGTCAGGTACAGGTACTCACTAGAATTCGCATTGGCCTGACAGGATATTCATCTTAATACACTTTCCAGCAGAAACTGCAAGTTAATGTTTATATTAGAAGAATATACACTACACAGTGCACCCCTTTCAATCCTCTATTTTATCAAACTTCACCGTTTATTCTTCTGCAGACTCTATTTTTGTCAGTTTCTCACAGGCAAAGTTGAAGATAAATACCTTAATGTCATCAATCAACATCATAACATCCTGGGACATGTAGAAATCGCTTAGATCAAAAATGATCGAGTAGCAAACTACAGTCTTTCCTAGTATTCGATAAATCTGTTGAGAGAGAAAGCTTCCATTAATCTTTTCTTTAACGTATTTGAAGCATTGAAGTAGCTGAAAAGGAAAAAAGGTATTTTGAAACTGTCAAAGTAATAATCAATGTAGAAGAGTTAAATTTAAAAACACTTAAAATAAAACCTCCATATCTAATTTTAGGTTTTATTAGGTATGCAGATCTAGACTCTGTTTCAGTTAAAGCAGATCACTTCATCACCATTCAGCCTGCTTTGGCCAAGGCCTGCTGTAACTGCATGTCTAGACAACACAGGACAGTTTAATAGGAAGACAGAGCATGTGCATTCAGCGCAGCGAAACGCATTCAAACAACTTTAAGTTATATGCATAAAATAAAATTACATTTCAATTCTATTTAAAATAATTCAGAAACTAATTAGATGTTTATCTGAAATACGCATCAATAACATAAACATTTCTTGCAACAACCTTTGATGTTCCAAGGCATCCTATAGGCCTGTCTGGTCTTCCAGATAGTCCCAATTTGTCATTGACTCCCAAATGGAAGTAAGCCTGTAAGAAAGAATCACGAAAACTGAGGGACACCTCTATACAAGCCTTTCTTATGCTCCTACCAAGTCTCAGAGAAAGCCATGTGCATTCTGCTTTAATTGGGAAGCAGGAGTCATAGAATGTGGTCATCATTGCTATTGTTTGTTTGGGGGTTTTCTGGTTTTGTTTTGTTTTGTTTTGTTTTTAAACACACACCTATACAACAACAATTAATGAAGTGAGGGAAGAGTAGATTTGGTACATCTACAGGTCTAACACCAAATTTAATACATCTCTCCAGCCTGTCCATTCCCTCTGAATGGCAGCCCTTTCCTCCAACAAAGTACTTCTAAAATCTTCAAATTGCTCATTGAAATAGGTTGGTTTTTTTTTTTTAAAGGATCATTTTTTAAAGATTCATTTGCATTTATTGTCTGGCC